GGCTGCTAAATTTTAACTTGGGGGTGCTAAAGACCTTTTAGCACCCCCCCCCCCTAGTTGCGCCACTGACTTCATCCATATAGAGGGATGGCAATGGCTCACTAATCTAGGTATGATTTCATTTCTCAGTTTAATAATTATTAGTCCGATCATCATCGTTCAATGTGATATTATGGACATTCCACACGTGAGGTGGAAATAAGGGTGGACAATTCCGCAAACGTATGCATTTATTTTGTGTCGAATTAATTCTTCTAAATGTACCGGTCGGCGGTCACATAAGTATTGTCGAAATATTCTAATATAGCTGAACCTTTTTCTGGCATTATAGTTTTTAAGTTTTTTTTTTTTATTCCTTCAGCTAGGTACATAACAGTATTTACGTCGAAATGTAACTGACACAAAATGTATGGATGTTTTAATTTATATCGATAATCCTACTACTGTTATCCAAAGTAATACATTTTAAACCTTTAATAATATAATAGAATTTGTTCGCATATTTTTGTATATATATATATATATAATATGTGTATATATATATATATAATATGTGTATATATATATATATAATATATGTATTATCTACGACAGTTATTTGGTATGGGTTCGATAAGACGCTCGGCCTATAATTGTTGTTACCTATAATATAATAATAATACTATATTATACTATATTACCTACTTATTAATTATTATAATAAATTATAATTTTATCGTTTTTACCGATTACCCCAAATAAAGTATAATCCTGTAAAAAACAGGACGTATGGTCACCCTGTCCTAATGCAAATCAGCGAAAGCATCTTTTTTTTTWWTTWTTTTTATTTTTTTTTTCAAAAACAATCTGTACAACAAGCACATTTAGTAATTTTGATAGCGAAAGCATCTCGCTAAGAATCCTATCCAGTCCTCTAAACTTTACTTGAGTTGATTATTTTCATTAACTTTACCACCTTTTAATTCGTGAGACATCACTATCCATCACTAATATCGCGTTGAAGTAAATGATGTTGAACACACAGGAATTAGGACCGTTTCACATATACCATATGGACGTTTACCTAWCAAATCCATCGGATATCGTACGTGCCCGTTAACGGTTACTTTATTTAAATAATAAATATTCATCTGACAATGGTGCGTAAGAGCTTATAATCAATTACTACTTTTATATGATGGCGTTAAAATGGTTTTAAATTCTTAAGCTACATAGTGCGATGAGCGTTTTAACTTTTAAAATGATTTACATTTTTTAAACCGTTTTTAGTGTTTTTACAATAGCGTTTATTCAACTTGGCAAAATTATTTGACTTAGCTTTTTTCATTTTGC